TATATATATATACACATTTCCCTCCAATTAAAGATTTTATTCATATGTACTTTTGGGGAGGGTGCATCTAAAGTTTTAGAAACAAACAGGCATATACTGTACAATAAATTATAGCAACTTGGAGGGGATACATTTCCTGGTGTCACCCTAAATGCACCAAGCTCTGCCCCATGTAATGTGAAGGATATCCAGCACTGTGTGCATGGGTGTTCTTTGTGTTTTGTTTTTATATAAAAAATGTTGTACTATTGTTTTCATAAATATAATAATGTGAGATTGTGATCATACAAATATACACGCCAAGTTTAATGAAAGTGAAAGACAATAAAGTACAAGTACTGAAGCATGAATGCATACTTTCTGTGATTGTATTCACAGAATTTGCACTCAGAAGTGCAACAAAGCCAGCTACATGTTTAAAATGCAGGGCTTTTATCGTGAAGAATATAGAAGTAGTTAAAGGAAACTGAGACAAACAGGAAGGTTTCACTTGTTCTTCTCTTTTAGAGATGCAATTTTTCTTTGCTGTTATCTTGACCATCTTACTTCAGTAGCGGAACTTGGACCTGGATTTCTTACTTTCACGTGATTTCCTGATGCCAAGATTCTAGTGTAGAATGTGAGGCATGGACTCAGCACTCTCCTCAGACAACTCCCTAACCTACCCAACATTGCTATAGCTCCATCATGGGTATTTCCCATGATACCCCTATGTGCAATACCCCAATTTCAAATAAACATGTCTAGCAGGCCTAACCTCTTAACTCACAATCACCACCAAATTCTAGTAGCCCTGTATATCCCTTGATCTATAAAACCTAGATCGTAAAACACTTCACCCATTCACCCTACCTACAGTAACTACAACTGGCAACTGGCCCATACCTAGTTTATACATGTGCCCTGGCCAGCCATTTTTCTCTATGGCCAGGCCCAACACATGCACACTGAATAGAATGCAGACATAAGGAGATCAGGGCACAGCAAGGTGAATATGCTGCCCTGCCAGGACAATGACAGGCAGTGCAAAACTACAAGCATCTGTATCTGAGGTTGAATACTGTTACACATTTCGTCAAGACAATAACGTGAGGTGGGATGGGAAATTTTGCTTAGAGCTTCAGTTACCTTTTAACATACAAAATAAAACAAAATATTAATGCAGAAGATTTACCATGCTTGAAATCTAGTGAACAATTACTGGAAGGTTGAGATAAGCAAACTGATCCATGTAAACCATAATTTTGCCTGGATCAGTCTAATTTAAAGACAGCTCATATGAATTATATCAACTAATCTAAGCAGGCAGGATGCAGAGGAGATGGTGGGAATTATGTGAAAAATTATGTGCCCTTAGTGGGCAGTATAGGATGTGGGAATCTTGCAGAATCCCATTCTCCCTTAGTATAATAAATCTCTGAGACCCTTGTGGATTTCATTTGAAGTTTTATTTCAAACAGTAGAGAATGAGGTGAGAGTTTTATATTAAGTTTTAAAAAACCTGTGTCTCTGTTGGAGTAATTTTTTTACACTGCTTGTGTCAGAGTGATTGAGTAAAGGGTCCATTGTACTGGGGTGGGTTGTAAACTTTCCTGCCCACAATGGAAACAAATACGTTTTGCACAACCTACCATAAAGCAGAAAGTGGTGCCCATTAGAATTTGGCTATTGTTTTGATAAAAAGGCCCCTTTTTTGGATCCTCTAAGAGGTGCTAATTAGCATAAGAAACCCACGTGCTCATGACCTTCTTCTTAGGGATATCAGCTCATATGGCTGGGATAATGAGGTCATATCTATCAGATGGGGTGTGGAGAGATGTTTACTGACTAAAAAAAGAAGAAATATCACATCCAACCCTTGCATACATGAGAGCAGAAGCACAATTATCAATCTTCCAGCAGGGCATACATTCAAAAATCTTGCAGGGTTTTCTCAAACTGCAATCTAGCTAAATTCCATTCCATTCCATATGTAGATAGAATATCACCGATTTAGCTTCTTATAGTTCATGAAAAAAAGTGTTACTGTTTGATGAGATGTTTGCAATTTTTTGAAATGCATATACAAAAGGTTACAGTGATCTGGTATGGCAAGCTAAACAGAGGCAAAAATGTCTGGCTCTATAAACAAAAAAATAAACATAGAACATAGATTTTACTACCATGCTCCAAGCTGAAAACCAGCTCTGCAAGGGTTTCCCATTTTATTAATCCACCCAGCCATCACTTTACACAAGGGCTAAACAAATACAAAACAGGATGTTTTGAAGTTCATAACCATTAAATAAATTCTTATAATAATGACCACACATACATCTCCTCAAGATATATGACATATTAATTATTAATGCCTCACCATATGTGACCCTGTTTGTAAAGTGTATGGAATAGGGAGTTTTCATATCCTATGAGCTTTTCAATCAATAATGTGTTGTATATATTGATTTCTGCAAAAACTGGGGCTTGTTTATATTTTATATTACATTTTTTCTGCTTTTGAGCGTGATTATCTTTCATTATATGCTGAGGGGGAAATTATTTTTTTCTTGATTTATAACAGTTTTTTGAAGGCAGTATGAGGCTGTTTTCAAAATGCCTTTCACATTCTCCTCTTTCTTTTGAGACTTTGTTTTCTTACTCTCCTTTTAGTAGTTACAGTATATTTTTCTTTCTCTTCAGTTATTATGACTATATATTTTTCTTCTGATTTCTTTGATATTGACTTAAGTTGTCCAAAATGTGTTCACTTATGTATAGATTCATATCCGTGTTTATTGTGTGTTTGAAGTGTTTTTCTTTTTTACTATTTAGGGGCAAGATGATTCCAGAAGAGCTCGAGAAGCAGATACAAAAAGCAAAAGAAGAGGTAACCTGTTCAAATTAGCAGTAGTGTTTAAAAGTTAAATTTTTTATGTGCCCTTGCTTTGTAATTCTGATCTCAATGCATTAAACACAATGAGGGGAATTTATCAAAGCTGCAGCAGCCAATCAGTTTTTCTCGTTCATTTTCAAATCTTAACTGAACAAGCTGAAGGTAGAAGCTCATTGGTTACTATGGGTAACTGCTCCAGATTTTGTGTGCTCCAGTTTTGATAAATTCCCCTCAATGAGTCCTTTTTTGGTTGTTGGTTTTGTTTAAGACTTTTACTTAGGCTTTAGTATTTTGTTTTAGATATTATTAATAAAGAGGTGTGAAAAAAATAAACAGACCATCATTGCTGAATTCTGTCTTAAAATGTAATTTCCCTGGCTTTCATGCTGATGCTTAGACTTTCATGCTTTAATGGTCACTGACCCAGAACTAGAAAGCAGCAAGTGAAGCCAGACAAAGGTCAGAACATCTATTCTCCATACTTGGTCTCAGCTCTTGGTTAATGGCTCAGAAAGTATTAAAGCCAATGGATTAGCATGAGCCAGGCACCTAGCTTTTTCAAAAGGTGGTTATCAGTAGAAACCTAAATGATGTACTATGATCATATAGTTACATAGTTACATAGTATTTGAGGTTGAATAAAGACACATGTCCATCAAGTCCAGGGGCCTGCCATCCGCCGGATATATTTCCTTTAAAGAATCAGTAGGGTTTGTAATCAATCAGTGGCGATTGATTACAGAAGGAGAGCATTTTTTTAACCTATCTGTATGAAAGAAAAGAAAAGAAAAATTCACTTTGCAAAGAATACCCAGTCATGTCAAAAATCAGCACAGATTTCCCTTATTCACAAAGCTCAGTGAATGCAAAGGGAATAACTTTGGAGGTAAATATCCCTGAAACATAAATAATGTGGTTAACAATGTGGCAGGGAGGAGATGCAGGCTGCCCTACAGCTGCAAGAATGCCCAGAGTTTGTGACTTCCACAGTTCGAAGGGGGCTTCAGCCAGGGGCGGACCTACCACTGGTGCAGCCTTGTGGCCCCCCATCTCTGCGCCGGGAGTGTCAGATGATCAGATTTATATGCGGCAGCCGCGGGCCCCCCCATCTCTGTGCCGGGAGTATTGGATGATCCGACACTCCTGGCGCAGAGATGATGGGGCCTGCCATCCGCCGGATACTGGGGAGGGAGCCGAGAATGAAAAAGCCTGCAGGCACTTCATGGGGAATCCTTGGGATTTGGCCATGAGGACCCAGCAAGCAGCCACCTGAGCACACGGGTGCGCTGTCTCTGACACACACTGGGGTATTTCTCTACAGCCTTCCCCACCAGATAACAGTTGAAGACCAGCCAGAAGAGGTGAAGGTAAGTAAATAAATACAATTATTAATATTTGTAGCACAACTGATGTTGTATAAAATACTGCTGGTATTAGTAGTGCTTCTATAGCAGGTGCCATTCTGCATTGCAGCAATGCATAATGACATCCTCTATAGAGGACTACAAATCAGCAATGCTATGTTTTCTATTTTTCCAACTGTATTTGTTTGTGGTTGCTTCAGGGGGTGTGGATTGGGGGCTCTGTGTTTTTGGCAGGGGGTGCCCGAAAAAAATATCTTGCACCAGGGCCCTTTGTTCCCTAGGTCCTCCACTGGCCATGGCTACATAAGTAATAATAAAAATGAAACAGGACTGCATTGCGAAAATAAAGAATTTGAAGGACAGTTTTAGCCAAAACCTATACTTTTGGCTTGTGTAGATGATGTCAATTTAAATCACATTCTGTATACAGTATATGTATATTTCTTAGCACTGTAGAAATTTGCAAAATGTATATTATAATATACTGATAATAATAATTTAATAGGCAATTATTGATAACAATTAAGTTGCCCTTTTCTCAGAATAGCTAATTGTTTTCATTATTTTAAGTGAAAAATCAAAAAGTCTAAAAATAAACCATCACAGAATGCCTTGTATTCTTTTAAATAAATACAAGGCATTTTGTGAATGGGGAAGTAGTTAGGGCACATCGGTGATGCAGCCAGCGCACTTCACTGCTTGATTAGTATCCCTCACTCCCCTCAGTGCATGGAAGCTTGGCATTATGTGCAAGAGTAAGCATGGTGCAAGATAAGATTGCATTACTTTGCAGCAGTCCTCCCCACAAGGCTTTAAACCAACGGAGTGAAAATACATTTGCAAAGTGAACATTCATTTTGCAAATTGAACAACCCCTACTACACTCTTAGTATATCAAGCCCAGTGCAGCAATCAGATAGATACTTAAAAGAAAACTATGGGGTAACCTTTTTATCCCATAGTTGTCTTTAGGGTCACGGCAGGATATACAAAAAGGACAGAAGGGCTCCCACCTAGTGCAGATTGCTTTTAATTTTGTATAACACAACAGTTAAAATTGAAATGGTACTCACAAAAGTGGAAGTAAAAACAGCTTAAGTGGATGGGTTCAATGGGACTGCAGTTTGACAGAACTGCAGTCAGCCTGTGTGCCACTGAAATGTGGCGTTGTTGACGCGTTTCAGGGGTCACGCCCCCTTCTTCAGAACGTGAACGTTCTGAAGAAGCCAAAGAAGACTGCAGTTGACGCGTTTCCGGGGTCACGCCCCCTTCTTCAGAACGTTCACGTTCTGAAGAAGGGGGTGTGACCCCGGAAACGCGTCAACGACGCCACATTTCAGTGGCACACAGGCTGACTGCAGTTCTGTCAAACTGCAGTCCCATTGAACCCATCCACTTAAGCTGTTTTTACTTCCACTTTTGTGAGTACCATTTCAATTTTAACTGTTGTGTTATACAAAATTAAAAGCAATCTGCACTAGGTGGGAAAGCGTCACAGACATCCAAATAAACCGACGTTTCGGGGCCGCGCAGGGTCCCTTCCTCAAGGCAGAAAGAAGGGACATATTTATCTTTACTACTGAGTGCTGGTGATTTCCTGACTTTCCTGTGTTTGCACGGCGCCATCCGTGGTAATTCATCACTGCGAGCACCACTTTTTTCTTATCTGGCCGGGACTGCTGTGGGGAGTGCGGAGGGTCTCTCCATCGACTTACACTAGTATGCACAGCATCTTAATACATTATGGCAGATTTACCTGCTAAACCGATCTCCTCCAGTGATGCTCCTGATGATGTCATGTCTGCACATGTGCACGGAAGTCACTTCATCTTGGCTTGCAGGATTCGTGCACTGAGCTGCTCACAAATGCCATAAAGAAGCTTTTTTGGCAGAAGAGACTTACATAGTCTTAGAATGCCTGCTGCTTGGCAGTTTTTTTTTTCTTCAAACCTTACTTCCACTTTTGGGTTTTCCAACTGGTATGTGGGCTGAAGGCCAACTTTAGACAGGTTGAGAATGCAATAGTGGAGGGCGACCGCCATCTTTTAATTGCTGATACATATGAATTACACATATTCTCTGGCTAATAAATACAGTTGAGGCACTGAAGGAATGTTAGCTGTAAAGTTTAGATAATACAGTAATAAGGGGATGAGTTAGCACCCTATTGTAGCACTAATCACCAATAATATGCTTGCATTACTAAAATAGTATGAATGTGTTGTTTAATTGTATAACATTTATTGTACAGAAGACAAGAGGTACATTTAACAATGCCTTGGTACCGAGCAGAATAGCCGAGCCTGCATTCGGCCAGTCACTCACTGCCGTTCGGCCCCTATGAGAATAGGACAAACAGCAGCGAGTAGCCTGCCGGAGGTTTGGCTCAGCCGATCCAACATCTGGATCGGCTGAGTCGAACTAATTCTCCACTGCGGCTCGGCCAAAGATGCAGAGCATGTTCTGCCGACCCGAAGCCACCCAAAGCAAGCCGATGTATGGCTGGTTTTAGCCGTTGTACAGGTCGGTTATTTACTCGGCTGCCTTCGGCAGCTTTGTGAATAACCCTTATAGATAAAAAGAAACACTTACCCCTTTGGTGGCATAGCTGGTCTCCAGTCTTTTGGGGAATCCTGGTGGAGGCATCGGCATCCAACAACACTAAGGGACCCTATTTGTCTTTGTTCTCCTCCTCCTGCCCACTGCATCTTCTCCCAGTGCCAGGACAAGGACATCTGGTGCCCAAGGAGAAGATGTCAACCATTAGTCTCACTGGACGCAATATTAACCCCCAACATTGGTGTCATTGGATGCAATATTAACCCCCAACATTGGTGTCACGGAATGCAATAATTACTTTAATAATTTCATAATAAATGCATTAATGTGTTACACATGGGTCTTTTGTATCTGCCTATAGTTCTATCTTAATGTTAAAATTAACCTGCTGTAAGAGAATATAGAGGTTACCATTGCTGACCCCTCTTTCTTAAAAATTATAGTTGCCTGTCTGCTATGCTAATCTAAAGGCTTTAATACTCTCTAAAACACAGACCTAGAACAAGTATACGCATCAGGAGTTTCTAATTTTACTCTGATGTTCTAATCTGCATGCTATTTTAGGGTCAGCAACTAAGGAAGTATTGAAGCAAAGTCAGAAGAGCATCTAGCATTCTTTTGCTGTCAGCAAATGAGAAACCTTTTATTTGTCTCTGTACAGGATAGATAGATAGAATATAGACAGATAGACTGATAGCAGATATATTTTTTAATTACACTTGCCTTTGTGCAGTTGCTAAAGGGGATTGTACTACCGAAAGTGATTGCAAATGCCAAAATGTAAAACAGAAAAAAAGATTTAAAAAAATGTGTAACCTTTCTAATTTTTACAGGGAGCTTTGCCATTCCTTGTCATTGGCACGTCTGGTACTACAGTGTTAGGTGCATTTGATCCTCTGGATGATATAGCAGACATCTGTGAGAGACATAAACTTTGGTTCCATGTTGATGTAAGTTACCAGATGATGCAGTATTCTGTTCAAAAACCTTACATAGCTTTTAAATAAGCACATCCAATTCTTAATAAAAATGTTTTATATTTCCAATCATATACAATTTTAGATAAAAGTGAACTCATTCATCACTGATATTTTCAAATTTACTTCAACTTTTCAGCTTTGGCAGTTTTTTGTTGTTGACAGCTTTCAAGCTTCAACTCTGCTGTCAAAACTACTGTATTATATAACATTTGTTTACTTTTATCTCTTTTTGCAAGACTGAATATGTTGACTATGTATATGTTAGAGCTTCTTTAAATTCATATTTCATAACTGCTAGACCTCTAAGTGCAGATCATTCTACCTCATTTCTGCCTTCTAAGAAAGACCTCCAGCTTTTTGAAACATTTATGTTAAGGTGGGCACAGGGAAATAAATATTTTGCAGACAGGTTCCATTATTTATATTGCTTTTTATTGCCTTTATATACTTTTAAAACAAGGAGGAGCCATATATTTATAAAGCTTAAATGCTATGTTAATACTGTACTTCTATTTCAAAATGTACTAAATAGGGTTGATTTTGTTGTTGTTGAAAAAAAGATACTTAATTTGTGAAGTGAGTGTCCATTTAGCTTCATGATTAAGGTGAAACTGCACTGAAGCTCTTTTCTGCTTTCTGTTGCACATGAATATTGAAAATAAACACAGCTTCCTCTTATTCACTAAGCTAAATAAACCTTCACTTTTCAAAATTAACTTATTCTCTTTAATCCCTTTCTGCCGAGGCATTGCATGCGCTTCCTAATCATGTGATCACTGTTGTTGGCTGTCACAGTGATCACGTGATTGGCAGCCCATCCTACCATCTCCCGTTCATCACTGTGTAACTGGGAGCTGTCCATAACAGCAGGTCACAGTGCTGGAGTGCATGACTGAGCACTCTCCTGGCACAAAAGATATTCAAATAAAGCCTACCTCTGTGCTGCCACATATTTGTATATGGCCATCATTAAGGAGTTAATAAATCAACCTCAAAAAGTTATGGCACCCAAAGTAATCGCAGCCTATTGAATGACTAAGCATTTTTTAGCATATCATTCTGGGATCTTAGCTGGCCTTGTCTACCTACTGCTGCTCCTGTTAAAAGGGGTCTTATTTTTTATTTTATTTTTAATTATTATGACTACTGTACCTAGTCTAGATTTGTAATGTTCAGGGCAGAGCTGGGATCTCTGATGGGGAGATATTAGAGATGGAGTCTCTCCAAGGTATGAGAGACGGGTGATACAACTCACCAGTGGCCATCAATAGCTAAAACAAATAAGAATTTACGTGGTACGTGGTTGCATGATTGAAGTGAACACATCATCATTTCATTTATTTATTTAAGCATTCCTTCCCCAATTTGTCTTAATGCAGGTAAAACTAATTAAAACAGTCTTATAATTCCACTAAAGCAGAATTCCATTGGGATGTTTTGCTCCTCTTGCCCACAAACATCCAGTGCACCTTAATAATAGGTATCCCATTGAACCTAATTGTTATTCTATTCATATTTAATGAACCACTCTGTCAAGAGATGTATTTAAAATTATAATTATATTGAATTTATTTATTTGTTTATATTAATTTTTAGTAGATGACAAAGGAACACTGACTGCATATTTCAAATTATTTTGTAAAGCGTTCTATAAAATTATCAATATTATTATTATTATTATGTAAAATGTGTATAGTTTCTCTGTATTGATCATCTGTATTTCAAAATAAGCAGTCAGCAGTCAGATACATTCTCAGTCATGAACATAGTGCATTGTTTTAAATCAGTCATGTCTGGCTATAAATGCCTAAATGTTCACATATAATTACAAACTGCTACTAGATTAAACATTACCACACATTGTTAATAGTATTTATATTAACCCTTTTATATATATCTTTACAATGCATGAAATGTTTTTTATGATTATTTATGATTTATAGGCATCCTGGGGGGGATCCGCTTTAATGTCAAGAAAATATAGAAAACTCCTGCATGGTGTTGACCGGTAAGTGCAATTGGTACACCTAATTTACCCTGAAATAGTATGATTGCTTTAGTAGCCTAAGCAAAAGTGCAGGGCTAAATTCAGGATAAGGCTATACAGGTATATGCCTCATTCACCAGTGTTTTAGAGGTTCCAATACTCCCATACGTTCTTATTTACCTTATGCTGTTATATAGTAAATCTAGCCCATTATATTCAGTGAAGGGCAAGGAAAGGGAGGGACTCAGATGCTCACCTTTTATTTTATTTTCCTGTTCAGCAAAACTCCATCCTTACCTTCGGTCTAAAGCTGGCCATACACCTATAAATTATCTGCAGATGTTCTATCGTCAGATGGAAAAAGTGCAACAGATTCCTCCATCTACGCTAAACTGTGTAGATGGAGGAATCTCCCGCTGGGCCAAGCTTCAGTATCTTGCTAGTCAGCCCCCCTGGTTCTCAAAATACCTGAACAATCTGATTGGATGCAAGCATTGTTCAGGTATTTTGAGAGCCACAAGGCCAACTAGCAAGATACTGAAACTTGCCCCAGCGGGAGATTCCTCCATCCACGCTGTTTAGCGTAGATGGAGGAATCTGATGCACTTTTTCCATCTGACCATAGAAAATCTGCAGATAATCTAAAGGTGTATGACAGCTTTACACAGTTGTACAAGCTCCTCAGCCTCCTCCTCCTTCTTTCCTCCCCAGCCAGATTGCCCACAGCTGTCATTCGTTGGATTTCGTTTTTTCAACCATGAAGGCTCAGATTTGCATTTGGGCATAATATAGGGCAGTATACCTAGGTCGCAGAAACGTTTCCCCTTTTTAGGGCAAGCTGAGACTTACCTAATGGGTTGCACATATTTGAAGCCACCACCACACTTCACTGTAAGGTAAATGCGCATAATATTCCTTTACAATTCTTTCTAATTATGTGTTCCAAGGTAAAAGTGCACAATTATTCTTTTTATTTCCCATATATTATCTAATCAGTTATTCCATAAATGACTTTGAATTGCGCACAATTTTTCTACTTAGTTTTTTTCATTGCGTTTATGCAAATTTATTAGAAACATAATTGTAAATGTATATGCACAGCTTTTCTATATATCACACTTGATTTTTCACTTATATAATTTGATACTTATGGCCTACTCTTACAAAGTATACATAACCATTGTTAGGACTTCAACACTTTTTTTTATTATTTTTTGTTAGCGTTATCATTGTGATCAATATTAGTATCATTATTTATTATGTATTATATATTTTACAATTTTTTTAACCAGTGCTGTCCTACACTCTACTGAAGAATTGGTCATTAAAGAACCCCAAAATGCATTGATAGTGTGCTTAATTTCCTTGTTCGAATTAATAAACATGAAAGCACATCTGAAACTCCTTCTTTGTCTTCAGGTGTCTCTGCTCACCTCTCTTCTGAGAAATCCATTTTTGGGAAACCCCTTCTACCTCTTTATTATTTAGAGTCTGGCTAGTTACTGGTTGGATCTTAAGGTGCCAAATTGTGTGCATATGACAAACAAGTACATCCAAGAACGAAGGGGGGGGTCACAAAAAATGGGAGGGTGGGTAGTTCATTAGGTGTCTATTATCACACTATCTGGGAAAATACAAGCTATGCCCAATGGATACTGTATAATTGAATTCTCACAGAACCTTTTTTCCACCTAGGGCTGATTCAGTTGCATGGAATCCTCATAAAATGTTAATGGCTGGGATCCAGTGCTGTGCTTTCCTGGTGAAAGACAACTCGGTAAGCAGAGCAATACAGTTTAATTGATTTCTAATATTGACTATAACATTAATCTAGAGGTTTTACAGGTATGGTTTTCAAAAATGCATGCTTACCTTCTTTTGAAGAATACACTGATTATATGACATTATAAAAAAATATTTTTGGGCCAATAATAAGAACTAGTCGGGACTGGGATTATGCCAGAATACAGTGAGAGATAACATGATATCTCAATTGCTGCTACGCATACTTGCAGGCTTATTTTTTTAATAGGCCATTTATAAAATGTAGGCTGCAGTGTTGAGGCTGTTGTATGTTATGAAAATAATGCAATCGAGTGATGTCAACACATGGAAGTAGCTAGTGGGTCCAGCTCTATTCATGTTAGTGTCTTTTTTAAAATAAACAATTTTAATATGAAAAGCACTATGTTTCTGTCTTGTATTCTGCATTAATGAGCTTCCATGCTGGTAAGAAGGTATATGGATTAAGTTGTGGTGCTGTTGGCAACTTAAATCTTGAGAAAACAAAGAGTGCATTTTGACCCTATATTCAGTAAAAGGTCCACCAAAGGAGGTGAGTTACTTCCAGCTCAAATAAGGGTGTGTGTGGACGGTGTAGAAGGTGTGTTTCTAGAACACGTCCGCACAGAGGCTTGCTTTTGGAAAGTGCATTTTTTCAATGCATATTTCTTTTTGTCTGGACACTTGTTATTCAGTGTACAGCACTAGTCATGTTTCATGTTCATGTACGTATTTAGACATATGTAGTATACATATGTAGTATAGATACTTTTGTTTCACTGTCACTATTTGTATGTGATTTTCTTTTTTCAAAAATGTACCCATTTTTTGCTTTTGTGGTATGCTATGGGAAAGGGTTTGTAAGGGAAGCACTGCACTATTTTCTGCCTAAAGATCTTTGTTAAATACTGCTATTATCACTTTGGAGCTGAAATATAGACCAATGGTATCAGCATGAGTTCAGGCAGCTAATAGTGCAAATCCAACTGTCAGGTCTTAGGAGGTCTTTGACTTCTGACTCTTAGCTCCAAGAGTAATCCCCAGGCATAAAGTTAAATGACAGGCTAAATATAAATCTTTCATAGGACAGCCTGAAGAATTATAATAATCTGAAAGTGAATTTTCAGAATATCACAAAAGGCCAAATGTGACTGGTTCTCTTTCATTCCACCTGAAGCTAGAGTGTCAAAAGTGTCAAAGCTGGTGCTGTAACAGAGGAAGAAGCTATGCATCTATCAATTACTAGCTGTTTATCAGTTATCAGCTGAAAAAAGGGGTTTGTAATGTCTGATCTTTTCAGACAGAAAAATCACAAAACGTATTGTTCAAATCTGCACATTTCAAGTGTGTTGTAGATTTGGACAGTGTCTTATGTTCAATGTCCTGCTTGCTGCATCTTTAATTCAGGTTGCACAGAGTTCACGTACCCTGTTCCTACAACATTCCACACCCAAAACACACCTAAACCACACAGGGCCTTATGGTTATATACTAAATACAGCATGTGGTTCTTTCATATAAATGAATCCTTTGTTAAATATAATGGGGATTATTTACTAAAGGAGTTGAGAATGTTCACATTGCACATTGAGTCAATATTTATTTAGTAAATAAGGGGAAGTTGTGTTTACTTCAATCGTATAATCATGTGCAAGGCACTGTCCTGCTCTTTAATTTTTCTTGCATGTAATTAGGTGTACAAATTGAACACAACTTCATGCTCTTTTTTTACTAAGCTAATTGAACATTCACTTTATACTGTGAAAATTCTCGACCGCTTTAGGAAAAAAACCAAATGGCACTTCAGATTTTACCCTGAATATCTGCATTTTATTCATTACATGAAATTAAAAACACTCATTGCTGTTCTACTATTCACCAGTCGCAGTAAAGAAAATTCCCTTTTGATTTGAAATAAAGGGTTTGAAGCAAGCAATTATTTTTCTCACCGTCTTTCATGATATTGTTGCATTCATTTAATTGTTTAGTACCTAGTGACAGTTACTTGGTATCCATCTGTGTATTCTTACATAACAAGCTCAGATCTTACATTTTATTTTCCTGTACAGCCCACTGAAAGGCCGCTCATTTTCTTATGCCACGTTACCATTTAATTCTGTCAATGAGGTCACCTCAAAATCAATTGGCTTCCCCAGTATTTAACGGTCAGTGAAGTTTGCAGTAATGAGTTTACATTTATTTTATTCACATGCTTCCAAAATGTGTATTAATCAGTGCAGAAAATAAGACAAAATGTCCATGAAAGCCATCTAGCTCATTAGATGCACTCATTTACAGGGATGCTCAAAAATTCAGAACTCTCTGGAGAAGTGTTAGGCTGATTGCTGCACTCAACTGTTTGCTCTCTCTTTAATTTACATGATGGCCAGATTTCACTATTCTAGGAATGATGTTACATATAGCACTCTGTTTCCCTTTCAATCTTTGTTTTTATCATTGCAATTTCATGATATATTTGCACTTAAGCAATCTTGACACCAGGCATTTGGACTGCTTATTATCTTGTGGGTCATTTGTAATAATGTATTGCAACAAAAAACAAAATAAAGATGCAGATGCTGTAAAACATTATAACCCCACCACACAGCATGAATATGGTAAATTAGACTGTCTCCTAAAGTCTGTACCTTTGGTAACTATTCTCGAGCTTGCCTTTGGCAAAAGGTTGAGGAGCCGAAGGTTAGATATATGACAGCTGCTTATTTAAAAAAAAAAAAATCAGAGGGGAATTTATAAAAACTTGAGCAGACAGAATCTGGAGCAGTTGCCCATGGCAACCACTCAGCATCTACCTTTCATTTTCAAGCCTTAACTAAACAAACTGAAGAGAGAAGGTGATTGGTTGCCATAGGCAACTTCTCTAGATTCTTCTGCTCCAGTTTTGATAAATTCCCCTCAGTGCTTGTCTAAAGCCCAGAGCAAACTGTTCTAATCTCTAATCTCTAACACAAATAAAATTGCAGTGATGTTTAGTAAAAAAACTAATACTTGATATTTAAAGTAGAACACTAGGAAAAATAAAAAAAATTACATATATGATGCAGTAATATATAGAAATGTCACCAGCACGCCAAATCCTTTTAGGATAGCAAAATGTCCATTCATTTGCAGTTCCTTGTCAGATAAACAAGCACTTTCGGGAACGCGAAGGGTCCCTTCATCAGGCTTAGCAATAGGCAACTGGCACCCCTGGAGTCATTATGACTCATTATGATAGCTCTGCTCCTGAATGTCAACAAAAGAGCAAAGCAAGTCCTGTGATATCACAACTCACGCTCACCCCCCC